ATTATGCGTGCACAAAGACTCTGTCTTGGCCACGCAGAGCGAATGCGAAACAACAGATCAGTCAAAAACCTGTACACATTGAAACCATTAGGTACAAGGCCAGTGGGTAGACCGAAAATACGATGGGAGGAAGATGTTAAAGCTGACATTAAGAAGATGAAGGTATCAAGTTGGAAGATAACAATCCAGGACAGGACCAAGTGGAAAGGTGTGAATGAGAAGGCCAGAAATCTACGTGAGTTGTAGCGTCAGAACAGAAGAAGTCTTGAGTAAAATTGCTTATTGGAAACTGTTCCTATAACTAGGTCCCACGTCATGAAGATGTATGGAAGCGAGGGGTCACCAGTATCCATTGAATATGTGGATGAATGAGCATCAAGACTGGGTTAGCAAGAGAACAGTCACTGCTCCTGGAGAGTACTGAACCCCGGACCTCAAGTTCATATCAGGTTCCTTTACTAACCGAGCTATCTCTCATGGACAGACCTTAGAATGCCTAGAGACAACAGATGAATTTCATATTTAAGGGCTGAATATGGAAGTCCTACTCAGTTTACTGCAGGAAAAATAAAACCAACTTCCCAATTTGGGAATTTAAGTAAGTTTTACACAAAATTAAGAAAATATCTTAGATAGTACATGAGTAACGTAACAATTTCGGCGGGTACGTCCGCTAATTGAGATTAGCTCTTTCTAAGGGGCAGTAGGTTGTCTTCTCCCCACTCATCTGAGGAGGGAAACAGATCCAATTTCCGAAACGTCGTTTTTTCTATTTTTTAGAATACGCGACGATGGAAAAGGTTCAAAAACCCAGTAATTTTGTACGTTCTCGCTTATTTAATTTTTTTATGAAATCCCAAGACATAAGGAAAATGCATAAAAGTTTGTTTTAATTTTCCGTAGAACTTTGAATCAATTTTGCGAGTTACACTTGCTATGAGCGCAGAAGTAGATATTCATGTAAAGCGTTTGTTAGTAACGTCGGACTCTGATAAGAACTTTAATGTGCCCCAAAATTTAAGCAAGGCTCTCCAACATCAAATTTCACGAAAATTAGTTCAATATTTCTTAACATTTGATTGCAAGCCCTCCAACAACAGTAGAGAAACCTACGTAGAAATTATACCAGTATAGGGCCATCAAATATTTTAGATAAAGTTAAACGTGAAGAAAGCAGTCTTTTGTGATTTTAATATGTTAGAGAATCGTCTGTAATTCTTACAGCCGGAAGGTTTTGTTTCCGTAATGAACGGAAGACCTGTATTCTCCATTGCGCCTGAACCTTCCCTTCTTGTCGCGACCTTGTGAACCTTTTCACCTGCCGAATACCCTTCTGCACGTTTCTAGATCAGAGATAAGTTATCCGTTTTCACGTAACATCGTGTGTCTGACAATGGCTTCGTATATTAATGTGACCCACCGCTGACAACTTGTACAGTTTTGGCTGTCGTTTTGCTTCTTTGTGTCACTGATACAACAACGGGCAGAACTGTAAACAGAAAATGAACACGAAGAATAATAATCCTGGTACGTTAATGGGTGTGGACGTTTACGAACATCCTGCCTTCATCGTCGCCGTCGAAGAATAAGGGCGGCCGCACACCAACTGCGTCAAGACAAGCATCAAGATATGAGACAAATGACGCAGTCTTGCTTCATTCGTGATTCCTCAGCATCATGACTCAGACCGGTGTGCGGCGGTTTTCATAATCTCATTTGTTTCAACTGTGCTCCTTCCTTTGCGTCATGTCGCAGACATTGTGTCTTGACTGTTACATGTCTTCACACATGTCGGTATGCGGCCTACCTAAGTCAAGCAAAGAGCAAGCATAGAACTGCTACCTACACACTCAACCTCATACAGAACAAAACCGAGGCTAAACCTAACAACAATATTCAGTTTAAATATGTAGGGGCCAACTATATTCGTAGAAAACAGGTGGGACAAGCCAGGCGTAAGCTCTCCCACCCTGAATTTTTGGAACAAAAGTCAAAACCAAAAACAAAAAGAATTATACCGAAAGTTAAAATAATTTTTAAATGTGCCGCCGCCACTGTTTCAACTTTAAGTTGATTCGTAAACAAATTCCTTAACTGTGTAAATGTCACTTTGCAAGCAAACATTCTGCCCCCCCCCGGAAAGCGTCCTGACGGAGTCCATGGTTATAATTCCTTTAACTTCATAATGCATAAACAACTCCGTGGCTTAAGTCCGCAAGCGAACTATACCGACCGAGCAACCGCCGCTTGTCGGCAAAGTTAGTGCCAACTTTAGCGGATAGAGGATGTCGCGTGGTCGGCGCAACGGATTCCCACAGCCGTTAATTTCGGTTTTCTAGGCCGGAGCTGCTATTTCCTTGAAATAGCTCAATTATCCCCCCTGGAATGGACCCCGTTCCAGTCCACTACTTCTCAGAAAATCTGGTAGCGCCGGGGATCGAACCCGGACCTCTGGATCTGACCAATGACCACTAGACCTTCATAATACCTGTACATGCTGAGTCTAAATGTTTCTGACGAATGTGTGTAACAATAAACGTTGCTGAAGAATGCCGTCTTCTGGGATGTGGCTCCGTGTAAACATAGTATAAACCGACGTTTCGGACGAACGTATCAGCTCCATCTTCAGGGTAGAAGAAAAAAGAAAAAAAAACGTGAGCGGGGAATCAGCGTGAGCATGTGTCTGCAGACTAGTCGGTTTATACATCTACACGGCGCGACATCCCAGAAGACGGCTTTTTTCATAGTCACCGCCGTGAAAACCTGAAATCTTGCAATAAATATTTTTGTTATCTTGAACACTGTCCATCGTCTCGTAAGGTAAATTTGTCTCTGTGTTTAAATAATTATGATCTACGTCATGAAGACGTATGGGGGACTGGAGGTATAGTTTCATCATTCTTGATCTCGGCAACAGATGGAGGTGAGTAATCACATTCACGCCACGGCCGCTTTACCTCCGAGGAAGGAGCCCCCGATAGCCATAGGATTGGAGGCTGGCTGAGCACCAGAGCCGATATGGACACCGTGGAATAGAAAGAAATCTCTTGTCCCTACCGGGAATCGAGCCCCGACAGTCCAGTTTGTAGGACTTTCGAAAACTGTATCTGTTTCTGTCACCAGAAGTAGGGAGGGGGGGTTACTGCTCAGTCAAGCTTGTTAAAAACAGCTCCTCTCGATCACTAGACAGCAAAAGAAGTTCTAAGTAGAGTAAACTGGACAATCCGGGCTAAAATGAGTAGTAGCACCCGATAACGGAAATAGATCTACTTTTCAAAACGCTGTGCCTGAAGAAACTTCAGACGATCGACAATGTCCAAAATGATAGTAATTTTTATTAGAAATTTATTTCTGCGTTTTAATGAAATGGATTCAAGCCAGAAATATAGAACTGAACATGTATGACAAGTCCATTAGGAAAGCCAATAAATAAATTATGCTTCAATTAAAATAAAAGGCAGGGAGCAAACTATCTCTGCTGTTAATGAAGCGCCATATTGTGGAGACGTGTGGGAAAATAAAGACGCACGTGTAATTCTGCGTATTCTTAACCTCAGCACCAGATCCGTTTCGAAGTCCGGTCCTTTTATTTCTGGGGAGAAAGACCCATCAGTACCCCAGAGTCGATTTCGACGACTCGGGGAAGTGAATAACTTTTGCCCTTATAGAGAATCGAAGTCAGGTCATCTAGCCAGTTAGTACGAAATGAACTTACTGTCTGCTCCTAATACCTAAACATTCAGTTTATTATTTTAAATTATACTTGAATACATTTTTTATGAATTACTACCCATTCCCTACTATGGCATGCAATAGTTTTCCGAAGGAAGAATATATCTTTGATTGAAATAAAATTTTGTTTATTCAAGACGACAATCAGTCACTTCGACAATATTACCACTGCTCTGCAGTACACAGATCTATGGTAATCATAATGTCATTTATTTCACGAACCTCAATAAATCGAACTATTTCATGTCTACCAACATAGGCACTAACACCCACATCCTATCAGAGGGGCACACTTGGTATGGGTATACAGGGTGTTTCACGATTTTAGGCCATAACTGCAGGAGGTGATTTCCTAGGTCTTTGTGATCAAAAAAGTTAATATAAACATGTGTCCGATTTTGGACGGTTACGGAGTTATGACCGTTTTCTCATTCCCGTACACGCCCTCGTGTGAACCGCGTCTATCATCTGACGGGTCGCTATTTTTAGCCAGCTACAGACAGAGCGTTCTCGTTATCTCGACACTTGAGAGCTACCTAAGGCGGGGCGGGTTGGTATTTCCGGCGTTGTTCAGAACCGAGTGGCAGCGTGTGTTGCGGCCGGCGGTGGCATTTTCGAAAATCAGCTTTAAGCACCAATAAATTCAAATTAAAGGTAATTTCACGAAGTTAACTTTACATTCATACTTTAAATGTATCATGTATTATGCTGGTTTATTATTTTGTTCCGTTTATTGTCAGTAATCGTTACCTTCTATTCTGAGTTTAAAACGGTCATAACTCCGTAACCGTCCAAAATCGGACACATGTTTATATGAACTTTTTTGATCACAAAGACCTAGGAAATCACCTCCTGCAGTTATGCCCTAAAGTCGTGTAACACTCTGTATATGAAATTCAAGGTTGAAATCCTCATTCTCTTTTTGCATCCTAAAGGTAAAGGCAAATTCGTCCTTACCCTTAACTAAGGACAACACAAAGAAGACGTAGGGGGAAATGGAGGTTGAGTTCCACGCATTAACTTCGATACTAGATGCGGTGAGTGATGAGCTTCACATCTCTGCCACCTTATTCCGAGGGTCACAGCCCCGGCGCCTTTCGGTTAGGAAGCCGAGGGCGCTCCAGAGTCGATATGGACAATGTGAAGAACAGCCTCTCGCCCCCGCTGGGAATCGAAGCAGTACTCCAGCCCGTAGCTTAGTAAATCTATGTTAGTTAAGATTCTCTCTGACAAAATCAAACTGTGTAATATATTTTGTTGCTTTGCAGGTGGAGGCGCGCTATTATGCGGGGGCCCACTGAGCCCACTGGTACCTGTGGCTTACCCCCCATACCTGTGGCATCCGCTTCCCGGGCTCTTCCTGCCATATTCCCCGCTCAACCTACATCGGCCACCGGAAGCACTGTCCCCGGAAAGCGCAGGTTCCGTGGACAGAGGGTACACCCCTGAAAAGGCTAAGCTAGGTCAGTATACAGCTGTCATACTAAACACGTCACGTAACAGTAGCCCTCAGAATGAGTTTCACAAATATCAAACATTTTCGCAACACGTTTTCATATATAGGCTAAAGAAAACAGCGTTTCGACTTACGAGAGAGAAAAATAACAGAAGGTAGGGGAAGACTGGCAACGAGGAGTTTCGTAATTTATACCATTGTCCATGTTTGTTATAGCCTGTTGTGTGTCATATATGATATAATTTGTGTATTGGGGGCAGTCTACACAACAATATTCTTGAAAAACAAAAAAGACACTATTGTATCAACGTTCGTTTCATTTTGCTGTTTACGCTACATGTTTCGGCCCTTATATTGGGCCATCATCAGGCGTACAATGATACCAGTCCTAGTTCTTGAATTGCACCTAATTTTAATATGGATCTATATTGTGTTCTTGTGAGTTTTAAATGCATAAATTGAATTTTCAGTTAAAACTTAGGCAGTTAAATTTAGAATTAAAAATTAAAATTAAATTATATAAAGAAATGAGATATTGTGTAATAAAGCTCTTTAAAACTTTGTGATCTCTACGTGTTGACATTATTTTCTGGGGGTAGAAGTGACTACAGTGTGGGGCGCATGCGTATCGGGATCTTCTTTCATGAGTTAGTTCGTGTGGTCTTGCTAGTGGGGGTGGGACTAAGTCCCTTGTACTTCGGCCACTTCTGGCCTATTGTACCAGCCCCAGATGATAGCTGAGGGTGATTGTGGAGCAATTGGTGGAATGAAGATTGGCAGGGGAAACCGAAGTACTCGCAGAAAACCTGCCCCAGCGCCACTTTTTCCACCACAAATCCCACTTGATCAGTCCCGGGATCGAAACCGGGCCGTTGCGGTGGGAAGCCAGGGACTAACCGCTTGAGCTATGGCGCGGCCTTCGGTCTTGTCCTTGCTGTCATCTTGTGGAGCTTTTTCTCGCTATTCTGTGTGTCACCCAACAGGTTGTTTACTTAGAGTGATGTATATTCGATTTTCTTGCGATGATACGTGTAGAGGCTGCTCCCTGTGTTGATGATGTCGCTGTGTTGTACACATAATATCATAAAAACCTTGTATACACCATTCCAAGTAAACAACCTGTTGGGTGATACACAGAATAACGAGTGTAGACTCAACAAGACAATAGCAAGGTCAGGACCACACGAACTAACTCATGAGAGATCCCGGTACGCATGCGCCCCACACTGTAATTGCTTCTAGCACAGGAAAAGCATATCAACACGTAGCGGTCACAAAGTTTTAAAGAGATTTATTACAAAATATCTCATTTCTGTACATTAATTAATTTTAAATTTTAAGTTTTAATTTTTAATTCTAAATTTCACTGCCTAAGTTTTAACTGAAAATTCAATTTATGCATTTAAAACTCACAAGAACACAATATGGATCCATATTGAAATTAGATGCAATTCAAGAACTAGGACCAGTATCATTGTACACCTGATGATGGCCCAATATAAGGACCGAAACATGTAGCGTAAACAGCAAAATGAAACAAATGTTTATACAATTGTGTCTATTTTGTTGTTCAGGAATACTGTTGTGTAGTGTCCCCATTATACAAATTACATATCCTATATTTCTATGTTGAACAGATGAGAATGCTTCCTGGTGAAACGCGTGAAGGTGAACAGATGATTCGCAATAGAAACTCTAAACGGGGAATTAATTTTTTTGCACTTAGATTTCCAACACTAAACCTTGGTGCAACTTCGTTAATGGATGTTCCGCGTCTGTCAGATGCCAAGACAACAAGAAGTTTAAAATAAAGACCGAATTTATCACCTCGTATTGTTACGTCACATGCTCAGGCTTTCAGTAAATCAGTAACTGCAGTGTGTTCAACAAATCCAGGACATTAGGTCTACCCAGTGATAACGTGTGAATTGTTTCCGAAATGGATTATTATGCACATTACATTATACATGAAGAAAGCAGTCTTCTGGGATTTGGCACCGTGTATATGTGGTGTTAACCGACGTTTCGGAGGAACGTATCGCCTCCATCTTCAGGGTAGAAGACTGCAGCAGACTGCTTTTACCGTTTCTCACGGTCTCTTCGCTTGCAGATGTCTTATATTTTTTCTTCTACCCTGAAGATGGAGGCGATACGTTCCTCCGAAACGTCGGTTAACACCACATATACACGGTGCCAAATCCCAGAAGACTGCTTTCTTCATAGTCACCGCCGTGAAAGCCTCAAATCTTACATTATACATGTCTTCGATACTACCAACATCGAAGCTCAAGTTTACTTATGATCATAGGAGACTTCCCGTAGCTTCTATTTAAGGTTTGAATTACTCAGAATTTTCACCAAGACAGTTGAAAAAATCCGACATTTTGAAAACTAACTCCAAGGAACTGAAATCTTCTTGAGAATCCAAGGCCGCTCAGATACTCAGAAACCTCCCAGAATGTTATCGAACTGAAAATTCATTGCCGTGTTCACAAGCTAGGCTCTATCCTGAACCAGATGAATCGAAGTCATATCGCATCCTGTTTCGCTAAGTTCCGTTTCAATATTGTCATCCCATAGACTTCCATGTCTTCCTAGTAGTCTGTTTCCTTCTGTTTCCCCACAAAAGACCTGCATGCATTCCTCTTCTCTCCCATGCATGCTATATGCCCCACCAATTTCATCCTCCCTGACTTGATCATTCTAATTATATTTGACCAGGAGTACCAAGTTATGAAGCTCCTTATTATGCAGTTTTCAACAGCCATACATTGTATCGTCCCTTTTAGGTTCAAATATCCTCCTCAGCACCCTGTTCTCATATACTTCGATGTTTGTTCTTCCCTTAATGTCAGAGACAAGTTTCACACCCATTCAAAACTATAGACAACATTATAATTTTGTATGTTTTAGTATTTCGGTTTTAGGTAGCAGGCGAGAGGACACAATAGTGGCAAAAATTGCCCGAATTTAATCCATTCTTTAATTTCATCCTGAATCAAATTTTGATTTCTTGCTGTCTTCCCCAGATATTTGCACATTCTCACAGTATTTATTACGTATCCTTATGTTAAGATTGTGCGCTGTATTCTGGTGACGAGGCATCAACTTCTATAAGAAAAAGAGAGATAATTATTAACAGTTTATGAAACTTGTGTCTTGCAATACGACCCCCAAAACAGAACGCTAAAGTCTCCATTGGAAAAACTCTGGAATCTCCAGGACAAAAAAAAAAGCTCGTGTGTTGTAACTGAACCATAAAGTACATTTATCTTTTTTATATGAACGAAACTATCCATGTTGTTATTAATTTTAATTAATTATAGAATACTGTTTGATCTATCTAAAACCATCAACAATAAATCTAAACCAATTCTATATTCAGATGACACTAGTATAATATTTAAGAACTCTAAATTTGAAAACTTTAAAAATGACATAAATATTGTATTTGAAGCCTTAAACAGATGGTTCGAAGCCAATTTACTCTCATTAAATTTTGATAAAACCCATTACATATCATTCACAACTAAAAGCAACCACCAAATTGATCTGGACATCAGTTATGCCAACAAATTAATCTGTAAAGTACTTGATACAAAATTCCTTGGAATACATGTAGACAGTACACTGTCTTGGAAAATACATATTGAACAAATTATACCTAAATTAAATGCAGCTTGCTATGCGATGAGATCAATTAAGCCTTTTATGTCACAGGAAACATTGAAGATGGTTTACCATGCCTACTTTCATTCTATTATGAACTATGGATTAATATTTTGGGGGAACTCTTCACATAGTGTAATAATTTTTAAAATACAAAAGAATATAATTAGAATCATTACAGGATGTAGAAGTAGAGATTCATGTAGAGAATTATTTAAGAAATTAAAAATTCTACCTCTTCAATCGCAATACATATTATCGCTTCTCTTATTTGTTGTTTACAACAAAGATAAATTCAAATTAAATTCTGATGTCTATAACATGAATACTAGACAAAAATATAACTTCCACCTACCCTCATCAACTTTATCAGTATATCAAAAAGGAGTCTACTTTACTGGCATAAAAGTGTTCAACAATCTGCCACAAAGTATTAAAAACTTGGGCAATGATACTAAAAAGTTTAAATCAGAGTTAAAGAATTATCTACATGCTCATTCCTTCTACTCTTTAGATGAATACTTCAATGTAAATAGAGAATGATGTAAAATTAAGTTATATTAATTTTTAAGCTAAAATTGCCTGTACTTATGTATGTAACCTTTTGACTTGTTCTGTATCCAAAGGTACTAACCTACTTAGGATTTATAGAATGTAAATAAATTCAATTCAATTCAATTCAAGTAAAGAAAGTGCATGTTGCAGCAGACGACGACGTGCCTCTCAACCTGTGCACGAAGCCGAGGCGACCGCTTGGAATCTGGTCGCCGGCCAGCCTATGTGAGCAGGAGTTGCGGGATGATGATGACCAGCCCCACGTGACACACAGCAGTCGCCTGCAGCAGCACAGCCAGCAGGGCGGGGGGCGGTGTAGTAGCAGCAGCTGGGATGCAGACCCACACCCAGCCGCCAGGCCTCCCGCCCCTACCACAACCACCTCCACCGAAAGAACCTTCCAGGTATGGTCCGTCGTGTTCTCCAGTATCTGTCACCTTTGTGCACGGCGTAAAGGCTTATATTGGGGAGATTCTCTGACACAATTTGCTTGTTTCACCTTCCTGAGCACTTGACAGATTTCAACACATTCGCAACCTACACTAAACGATATAAATCGAATTCTACTATTGCTTGTGTTGAGCCATTGGAACATTTGCCTCAACTACCGCAGTAGTGCACGGCGGGTGGTAGCGAGGAAAAGCTTAATGCCTAAAAGGGAGAGTAACAGATGGGTGAAAATGACATAATGAGGAACTTCATATATTCTAGTCTTCACCATACATTTTTTTTTCCTTGGTACTACAGCCTCAGTGGGCCTAGGCCTACCTCCATGAACTTCTCCGTTCACTTCGGTTTTTCTAGATCTTACACTTTCGGTAGGACTCCTTGGGCGGGTGATCAGCTCGTCGCAAGGACTCTACCTGTACACAAACACAGAAAAACGCACACACACAAACTAAACATCCATGCCCTGAGTAGGATTCGAACCCACGATCCCGGTTTCCAAGCGAGCGAAGACAGTACATGCCTTAGGCCGCTGGGCTACCGTGACCGGCCCATACATTATTAGGCTGACTAAATAAAAGAATAATGAGAAACGAGGTGCGTGTAGTACAAATGGAAGATACCAGAAATGCTTACAAAATTTCTTCGAAGTAAAGAAACAATTTGTAGAACCTAGACATAGATGAGCGAATGGTGTTGAGAGGGATATTAGATAATTATGCCGGTCACGGTAGCCGAGCGGTCTCTACACAGCACTCTACACACACCCCAAGGAGAGCACCGTCTCTATTGTTGCTGACGTCACTGCTTACGCAGAAGTGTGTTTACCAAGAATCTGTCTTCGCAGAAACTTGTTTACCAACGCGTTGCCTAGCAATGGGTGGTACATGTAATTGTAATCAGAGATTCGGACGAGCATATTCCATGTAGTGACTTGTTTTGCATATTGCGCAGTGGAACATTTGCATTATTTGTTTCTGGAATTATGATTGTTAGGAGCAGTTCCATGCGGAGTGAACCTATCTGACATAACCAGACCTGTCAAAATTATCTCGGAGTTCGACACAGCAAACAGGCGGAAAATGAAATGTAACGAGTTCTTAGTTATAAATGCACAACTGAAATCCAACGCGATAGACATCAACCAAGGGCGACCAGTTATGCCTGATAAGATATTTATGTTTTTAGAAATAATTATAGGACAGGGAGTATTACGCAACAAAGGCGGAAGCGGGACTGAGTCAAGTCCTTGACAGGACACACAAGACAAGCCTAAGTGTGGCCATAAGTGACTTCCCGTTACCCGTTCTATGCACTAACAGGCTTAAACAAAATGAACGCATATTGCAGACAGCGTTATGATGTTCAAACCCAGTACTGGTGGGAGAGGAACTCAAAACTAGACGATGTCGAAAAAAAATATTTATATTCATATCGACTCGCCATAATTTGTACTTTATATGGACGTCAGACAAAAATCTTCGCATATGCCTCCACCCCTCAAAAGAATCATCATAAAATATTATGGAGGGTATGTGGAAATCTGACAAGGGGTTGTCTAGCAGTCTGGGGGTATATTATAGGTTCAGTAAACACTCACATGTTTGAAACATTGCACTGGGCTTCGCATTGGGACGAAAACCTTTTCACGGCCTCAGTAACGGAAAAAGCCACATGAAAATAACTTAAAGAAGTTTGTTGCAGATTGGACTCAGTTTGTTCATTACAGGTTCTGTGACGGAATGTGGTGAATATGATAAGGAACCTCTGGCTCCATAAAGGGTTGGGAATTTCTTGAACAAGTGCGCTTCTGTTAACATGAAGATGGTCTCCATGCCACGGAGCTGTAGATGGAACCTTTGGTACTTGAATTTCGTGATATTTGTACGCATAAAGAGAAATACATTAAGCAACTCGAGGTTCGATCATTAAAGCATTTGTATTTTAGAAGAGATGCATTTGATATAAAACGGAAGTTTAAAATTCTTAAATCCCAGCGCTCTTAGAGGCCTTGAAATCCGAATAAGTCGCCGTGTCAGCTTACAAGAACACCTTAGTTAGTTAGTTAGTTATTTAGAGAGGGTGGGTTCCCCATGCACCGCGACCAGTTTGATCTATTGTGCTTCCCTCTATGATATTCTACCAGTCTCTATACCCTACCGATAAATGGTGCGTACCATCAGTCCCGCCGAGCAAGCGAGTTCGGCCACTTGCTTAGCGGTATCTATAATGCTTCCCCCATCTATCAGAGGCCTTAGAGACTATTGTTGGGCGGGAAACGTCCTGGAGTTTGGCTCAGTGATCCCCTTTGGGGATATGAGGTTCTTTTACGTGCCGTAAAGTTACGACACGGGACACACAGCTTAAAGTCCCTCCCGGAGGACTTGTTCCCTGAATTTTCCCGCCCTTAAAAATTCGACGACCTCCGCCGGGTATTTGAACCCGCGTACCACGAGTCAACCTCTAGACTACGGAGGCCGCTTTACAAGAACACCTTACATATATCTATATACCTATACTGACGCCATTATATGTGAAGATGACTTTTAAATCCCGCGACCACTTACATTTTACTAGTATACTAATCTGTTTTCTACATAATGTATGCCAGTCTTCTCACAGTCCTTCATGGCGATTCTAAACTGAGGACTGTGTGTAAAAATATCGAATAGCAATTCGTATACAATGGAGAGTATTATTCATAGAAATATATAGCACATTATATACTATAAGCTCCAGAATTCTCTCTGCAATGTGGCGTGCCGCCAGGAAGGCCGGACTGTAGAACGTGCATTGCTGGTCAACGGCTGACAATTCCTAGGCAACGAAACATAAACAGACAGTTTCCAAGGGAAGTGCTTAAGCAACTGAGACCGAATTGCTGAGTTCCCACAGCAACAAATGCGAAACAATACGGCGTCCATTGCTAGGCAATGCATAGGTAGACATGCCTGACAACAGTACATGATGTCAGTTGCTAAGCAGCGATGTGTTTTCTGTGGATTGTCCGTGCCGAGCCTATGTAGGGAACAGTGAACACTGTTCGAGAAAATCCAACGAGCGATAGGGGAAGAAAAGAGAATGAAGGCTTTACCGAGAATAGCAGTGCAAGAGTACAGCCACTGAAAAGGGAACGTGAAAGGCGTTACTGAGACTGATTATATTTGTGAGTGCACACAAATAATTGTCCAATAAACATTCGTCTAATCCGAAACCCCATCGTTTCTTGTCGCGTTACCTAGGAAACACGTGACGGTATTAAGTTGATATTTTCGTAAGGAGGGCAATGGTATTTCTGCAATGTAAAACATCTGACAGACACCCTCCATGTTTCCGGAAGCCGCCTGCTAATATTTCCTCTTCTAACAAAGTAAAAAAGTCCCTAAAATGAGATTTTCAAGGCTGTGGACTTCTGGTTTTTGACAGCGTTCAGTATTAAGGTAGGTGGGTGTGGGAACTGCCCACATTCAAGCAAGTGTGACAACGCAAGCGTCATTGCTTAGCAACGACGAGTAAACAACGGTTGCTAGGCAGAAGCAAGTAAACAGCGGTTGCTAGGGAACTTATAAACACAGTAACCGGCAATAGCAGTACCTATTACGTAACCGTTTTCTATATGTCCGATTCTAGGCTACATAAGAAGATACACTGAGTTACAGTGACAGTCTAGTTCTACCGTTCTACAATACCAGTTCAGTGTTCAAGCAGTTCACTATTGTTGTTATCCGTCTGTGTATACTGTGCAGCTGCAATAAATCCTATAGGACAGTTCGACTAGTGGTTGTCTATTCATTCATACGACATCCCACATTGGTGACCCCGACTAAGCATGGACGACGCAAACAGTTCGCCAGCAGAAGTGTCCAGAGTGGCTGTGCGGCTCCCGCCGTTCTGGCCCGAGCGACCAGCCGTGTGGTTCGCCCAGGCCGAGGCGCAATTCATCTTGGCCGGCATTAGCAGCGAGCGCATCAAGTTCTGCCACGTCATCTCGCAGTTGGACCAACGTTACGCATCGGTATAAATATTACGGACGAACAGAGGCTTACTGCAGTCGTTGACTGTATCTTCAGGTTTAGAGATGGAGGCATGTTCTTTCCAAACTTGGGTACATAAATAATTTGTAATTAATCCAGTGGTCTTCATGGTAGTCCTGCAACTACTGCGTATATTTCTGCTGCTTCTTGCACGACGGTAGCCTCGAATTGAAACCTCTAGCTTGTTCCGATCCATACATGATTCTGAAGCAATGCATCCTTCAGCCACACAATAACACAGTCCTAACGCGGGATCGGCCCACCGCGGCGCCTCTACCTTCACAGCTTAACTCAACACACAGAAAGAACCGCGTGAGAAATTCCGCTAACCTGAATTCGAGTCATCCAGACACTGTGACCACGTCTGGCGCTTTCTCGGTGATTATATGGAATTAAGTAGCACGGTGCTGACATAACATTCAAAACAAGTTTCGTGAAAATCCGTCAGATCGTTAAAGTCGAAAAGAAATATGCAGACAGCATGGTGATTTCTCTCTTTCCTTAAAGAGGAAACTGCATTCAATATAAAGCAGAAAATTATAACCTCTCAAGAGTTTTATTGTACCGAAAATTGAAACCCAGAAAACAGTTCCTTCAGGAGGCGCCCCTCATAGCGAAAGTGTCACATACAACCCCATTAATGCTTTGATATTGGTACTCTGGAAGAGGACGTAACACCGTGTTATGAGCAAGGAACTGAGGTTTTCACTTGTTTTGTGTGAGTTGTGTATTCCGAGGGTAAAGCAGGCAATCAAAGGCAATCATAAGCAATCACCCTTCAGCCCTTCTCATGTCTACGAACATAAATATGGGCCCAACAAATTGCTGGTTTGCCTATAAAATCGAGATTGAGTGTTCCTGTATATACTTCAACTTTTCAAATAGTAGAATATACTTCTCTGAAACAGAATAGCAGCGCACAA